AAAAATTGAGAAAAAAGAACAGAAAAACGATATATTTATGTAATATTTTTCTTTTGTGGATATTTATTTATGCAAACGAAGCTAATTTTTTAATTAGTCCGGCATTCTCAATTCACAGACAATTAGATGTTTTGATTTTAAATTTAAAACTTCAATGGAATAAATCAGAATGATAAGGGTTTTTTGTTATGTTTTGGGTATCACGAAATGTCATTGCTCTTTTAGTTGATATAATGTACTGAATCAATTCATTTCATTCAAGTCCGGCTCCATACCGTTTGTCCAATGGAATCTGATAAAAGAGAAAATACTCAATTAAATAAAAATGAATAAATGTGTGTTTGTTTGTAACGCACCTATTCAAGACACCTAATCATAGACCGCTACCAACATCGCACATACACGTTCATATTGGATTTTTTGAGAACACTCTGCAATAAATAAGATAGATTAATAGCAATTTTTAAAATAATTTCGCGCAAAATTGAACCCTACCACAGCAACAGATCTCGATTTTGTTGTATGTAAAGCGCTTTTTCAAAGTTTGTATCAGTTATCCGATTTCTTCTTGGCGTGAATACTAGCAACGCTTTGGAAAATATTCTTTCTATTACTCCACTGGATGATAGTGTTGTATTATATCGTCGAAAAATATCTTCCAAAATGGGCACTCCACGAACTTGATCTAAATTAGGATCTTCAATTGATTGTAATAAATACTTCCACACATCCAAAGTCAAAGTGTCATCAGTACATGTCCTTCTCTCTCCTTGACGCAATCTTTTGAAAAATTGACTTTCCGCTGAATTGTTTTGAGTCTTTTCATATTGGCTGCTATCATTTGGTGGACGTTTTTGTTTATCATTAGCCATATCAATGTATGTGTTTATCAGTAAAGTTTGAGCATATTCTTTATCTCTTTCATTCTCGATCCACGAAATTTTAAAACTAGGATGAATCACTGATGCCAATATTAATTCCTTATTTTCCTCATTAAATTTCATAATTGCTTCGAATCGAGTGGTCAGGCATTTTAAAGAGCATTCATTCATACTCAATCCATAATCAGAAGTGAAATTTTTTTCTTTTATATTCGTCTCGAAGCTTGCTTTTATAGCGTATAATGTAGGCAATACATAGCCCTGACAAGCACGGCAATCTCCTTGCAAAATATCTAATGCAATCGCAATTGGTTTCAGTGTATTTGAATAATCTTTCAAAACTTTCCATTCCATAGACGATAACTGTTCAAGTTTTTTTGATCGTTTGCCCCCAATATTTTTATTTACTTCTTTATTTATTTCGTCGATTGCATTCTTAATTAATAATTTGTGCTTCTCGGCAACAGTAATAGCGTCAAATTTTGAATTCCACCTGGTAGCATTTGGGCACGGAAAACTCCTTTTACAAACATTAAAAACAATCTCATGTGCCACTGTAGATCTACTATTTAATGCCCAAAAATTTTTCAATTTTCCATAACCAGACGTCAATATATCAAAGCATCTCGGCGATGATATTTTTAAATTTTTTTCAAAATCTGTTGTGCCTAATAAATTGAGTGAATGTGCCATGCATCTTTCTTGTTTCGGAAGATGTAAATATTCATCGCAATCATCTTCATCATCGTCATTTATTACATGAAAATTTAATGATTCTGAAATGGTCTCTGGTGGAAAGTAGAGTGAATCTTCGACAACTTCGGGTGCAAGCACCTCTTCAATTTCTAACTCTTCTTCTTCATCTTCGTTTTGAATAGAAGTGCTATGTACATTGGCCGATTCATCAGTGCTTCCTTCACATATACCATCGGGAGCTCCAAAAATGGAAAATGCTTTTCGGAAGTTACTGGCTCCGTCAGTCACAATATGTGTCACTTTCGATCGTTTAATATTGAATTCTTTCTGGATAGATAAAATCATTTCAGCCAAAACAATGTATGTGTGGCGTCCATAAACTCGACGAAAAGCTAATAAATACGACTTTCTATCGAGATTTTCATCCAAAAAGTGAATTGATACACCAAGGAAGCTACGCGCCTTATTTGTCCATACATCAGCAGTCATACAAACATAATTAGCTTTAAAAATCAAAACTTTTAAATTTTGTTTCAATTTTAAAAACTTTTCATTCAAATCAGACATCAATGTTTGTGTAGTTGGAATTGATGCTTTCGTCTGTGACACGTACTCGATTAATTTTATAAATTCTTTATTTTCCACTATACGGAATGCGGAATTAGTGCTTGCTACAAATGATAGTGTCAGTTCACGAACCTGAAACAATATCATTAAATTTTTAGTCTCAAAATAAAATCATTATAAAAGTTGTCAAAGAAAAGTATTTTGAAATGTACTATACCCTATTAAAATCAAGTGATCCCATTGAAAATGGCAACAACGATTGAATTTTTTGTTCATTTGCCGTGGTCATCCGTCTATCAGTTTTTCCCTTACAATAATCTCTCATTGCGATGTAATAATTAATGTGTGTTAACTTGTAATGTGTGTAAAAGTTTCCAGTCGATGTTGTTTGTCCGCGTATAATTTTATCTTTTATTGTACATTGGTTGCATTTAGCCGATATTTTCTTTGTATCCTTGTCATGAGAAATAATTTTAAAGTATTTTCCGTCGAAAATTGCTGGCAGTTTAAATTTAGATGCGTGGTCATTGTCATCTGAATGTTCATCTTCACGGGACCTTTTAGACATTTTATGAACAGGTCACTTCACGGCAGGCTTTAATAAAAAAACATATGGGATGCTATAGTTTTACTCGAAACTTTTTTTACTCTTGGCATAGATCATATGGCAAAACTTCGCATCTCTTTACAACGCCAATTTCATAAATGACTTTTATTCCATTTTTCTGGAATTAAATAACTTTCGCGAACGATGGCCGGCCATTCGAGCGCATACAATTTGATCAATATTCATTTTAATATTGTCTTTTGAGACCTTCTTCTTTCTAAATTCCAATGGCCCTAGATGTGAAAAGTGCAATTTGTGATTGAGCAAGATGTTTTAGTTATGTTTTAGTTGCCTTTTCAGTAGTTGTAATAATTGCAATCGGACTACGTCTTCGAAGATCATATTTTTTTATTGA